TGGCCAAAAGTTGGAAAAGAGAATAGGTAGAGGAGTTTAAATAGTAAAAATGTGCGTGCGTGATAAAGATATTTCTGAGATGGAAGCAACTAACTGTAGACAATAAAAGACAGAAAGTCAGCACTGCTTGATTTCTGCCGTTGTCCAGACCCTCCTTGTCAATTACCTGGGCGATTGTAGTAGTCAAGGGTTTGTTCTCCACAGTTGCACAAGATTGATTTTGTAACAACTATGTTATATAATTCCTCTGTATAAACACCTGCAGTGGTTCCCCGTAAGCCTCAAGAGTAAGCCTTCTGGTCAACCAGCATCTGGCTTCTACTTTTCTCTCCATCTCACCACCAGCCTAGCCTGCTCTAGTGGTACCAAAATATGCCCCAGTTCCCCCAGGCTTAGCATTGCTGCTTCATGCTCTGTACATGCTCTTTCCCGCCTCAAGTGAAGAGCCTTCATCCTCCACTCCACTCATCACCACCGGGCAAATTTATTTTTGTCCTCGTTCTTCTCAGCTGACTAGTACCTTAAATGAAACCAGTCCAGGTATTCACTAAAGTATTTTAAACTTAATGTTAAATGCTCAAAATCAAAGAAGTTTACTTACAATTATAATATTTTCATATCTTCTCATATTTTAAATTCACTTACCAGAAACTTATTGAATGTGTAATTTGTCCAAGGCATTATGCTTGGTTTTATCTGAATCATTCTGGATTTAACAAACGTTCGTTGAGGACTATACTTAAATGGATGTTTGTAAGAAAATACAGCTGAAATAAAACCTATTTACCCCTTCTTTTTAGAACAATAGGACAGAATTATCATAGTTTAGAAAGAATTTGTTAGCCTACAAAGTAGCGATGAGCTTTTAGATGTATTGCCTTTATGAATATGTTCAGAACTAATTCTGACAATAGAAAAATTTATTCTATAAATTATAGACAAGTAGCAATTCATAGTTTCTGCAAAATGTGGTAGCTTCTATGGATTATAGTGACTAACAATATTTCAGCAGTATTTATATTACCTTGTTTTCTTTGGCTATAAATGTGGTCCAGTTGGAAGAATTTTATAGTAGCATATTTTAACAATGATTCTTTAAGCAGGTCTGCTGTAAGATCCACAGAAAATCATGGTAAACTTGAATAATGTGTTATATTGTTTGAGAGGTACCTATGATTTCTTTAGTACAGATCTTAGATGCATGCCCTAACCCTCACTTAATATATAATTATTTTTCTATGGTAACTGGGGAGTTTGGGGAATTATTATTTATGAAATTAATAGAGGGAGTCTTAGAAATTGCATATAAGTCAAGTATATTTTGTCTCTTCTTAAATTTTCTGTTTTGCGATTATTTAGTAAAATATATGAATAAAATCACAATCCTTTAAATACCCTGAGAAATTCCTTGGCTTATAAAGTTATAAATATTCATTCATTCAACAAATATTTATTGGGTGTCTGGGGTAAGCCCTGCATTATTCTAGGCACTGAGAATGTGGCATTCATGCTCCTTTCTGTCACGGGCATATATTCTCGTGGTGAGACAGACAGTACACCAGTACACACAAACACACGTGCACACACTCAGAGAGTGAAGACAGTAACTTGGGATGAGTCTGGCACCAATTCCAATGCGTGTGGTTTTTCCACACCACCAGGCAATTCTTCGACACCTGGTGGTGAGTGGTGGGGGAATGGTCCCAGTGGTGGGGGGACAGACCCCGCAGGCCGTTAGAGGCCTGATGAGGAGTTTGGATCCTTCTAGAAGCAGTAGGCAGTCACTAGGATTTTATGTGGGGAAGCGACACGTTTTAGGCTTTTCTAAGAAGGCCTGACTGCTCTGTGGGTCAGGGAGTGTCAGGGCAGGAAGGAAAACTGCGAGTCATCTAGCCATTATGGTGGGCTAGGTGAGAGGTGGCAGTGGTTTGGAGTAGAGATGGAATGGAGGGAATAGATCCAAGAAGCATTTGGACTTAGAGTAAACAGGATTGCCAGTTGGGCTGGGAGTGGGGAGGGAGTGGAAAATAATTTATCTTAGTGCAGCATAAAAACGAGATGACGTGGAGATAGTCATTTAGAGCATCCAAATTCCATTTTATCTTATATCCTGAGTTAAAAGTTATTGCACATATTTATTATTATAGTGGAACTGAGCTTTTCCAAAGCAAATGCAATTCAGACTCTTAAAGCATACTGCCTCTTATATTTGGCTGCAGTGAATGAAAAGAAATTAGCTTAGAAGATGGCAGTTAAACTAAACAATTTCAGCTAAAAGCATAAGGACAAACATGACCTAAACAAAGTTAATTTTGCTAGTAGTCATTTGTTTTTCACAGAGAGATCGAGTTCTCTGTAACCTATACAAAATCAGAAAATAGACTTGCATTTAAAAAAAAATCATATTTAGTAATTTTGTAGTTTTGATCTTCTGAGAAGTCCTTAATTATGATAGGCAAGTTTTAGAAGGTAGTGACCACAGATCCAAAGGCACTGGGGCTGCTTTGATGTCCCCCTTTGCCAGCTGACCTCACCTTCTTTGTCATCTGATTTACAAAATCATTCCAGGTGACTTGGAGGTCCACATTGCTAACCTAGCAACTCATCAAGAAACCTGGCCTCAATATCCTCATCCTCTCCTGTAGAAGCTGGAGGGAGAGAGAAGGACTCACACAAGAGATCTTTAGTGTCACCGCGGCTGAGCTACAGGCCCCCTCCCGTCGGAGAGGAAAGAACTGAGCGGATGCAGCTCCAAACCCTCACCTGTACTCATCTCACCCACCACCACGAGCTCGTCCTTTACACATTAGGCTTTAGGATAATATGTGTTTGAACTTAAGGATGCAACAGGTTTTTTTTTTTTTTTTTAAGATTTAAATAGTCACCTTTTAGACAATAGCACACTTACCCACTGAGGCGGTCCCAGCCCACATAATTCTGTCATTTTTTGAGTCACCTGTATGAATTGAGTTTCACCAGCCAGTGAATGAAACTCACATTCACAATAACGGCCTAAAATTCCATGTTGTAGCTTTTACCCACCACTACCCCACCAGATATTTGCAAGAATCTCTCACAGGCCTTCTCTTTATGAGACTTATATCCCATAGCCCCAGAAGTTCTAAGTTAGGTCAGTTCCCGGTTTCTGCTTATTTTTATGTCTGCTGACCTTTTCTTGTTCTTTGAGTATTCCTCACTCTCTCTGGTTTTGGGGGAAATATGTTACCCTTCTTATACCCATTTTGCAGGGAATGGAGCCACAGTGGAGCGAATTGGAGCCCCAAGAGATGCAGGAGAGCACTAAGCTGAGCTGGGCTTTGTAGGGAAGGTCAGGTCTTAGGCACTGGAGTCCTGCTGCTTCGTTTGGTACACGTCAGACTTATCCCCTTACCTCATGGTTTTCATTCCTAGGCCCTGTTGCCTGATTTCATCCATCAAACCATTTCCCATTCAGTCTATCAAAGCAGGGTTCAAGTTCTTTCCCAAAAGGACTCTGGACTCCAGTCAAACTAGGGGTTGTGACTGGGCACAGCTTTAACTGTCCTGTGTACCCAGATGCCTTCCAGGGAGGGTGCTACTTAATGCCACAGTCTCAGATCTGGCTAGCTATGGTAGCTTCTTACAAGAGAAAAGTCACATTAGGAAACAAAAGAGGAGAGATTATGGAAGTACATTTGGGAAATACGCTTACAAGCTCACAGATATTCTACTCTGCTGATAATTTTCACCCTTTCTATAGGGCGTTTTCTCAACTGAAACCTTACGGAAGCTCAGACTATGAAACAGGGGGCACCCACGTGTCCAGAGAGGACTTTCCTACTCTCCTAGCCTCACCCCTCTGCTGGGGACACCGCACCCCAGAAATCTTTCCAGGGAGTTCTAGGAATCCTTGCAGCATAACTTAGATGTAAAGATCATAGGAATGAAGACGGATATTTGCATTGCATGTTGACATTTCCTCAAGAGCCACCACAGTCAGTCCCCTCGCTGCTGGGTCTTTAGCCTCTCCTGCCTCCATCCGCTCTTTTAGATGTCACCGTGTGCAGGAAGCCACCAGCCCTTATGGATGTAATCTGTCGTCTCTTGCTCCCCCAGTTCATTCTCCACTTGGCCACCAGAGTCATGTTTCTGAATTCACATCTGACTTTGTCATTCCTTAAATTCCTTCAGTGGCTCACTGTCCCTCATAGGATGAAGGCCTTGAACTCTCAGCTCTTCCCTCTGGATGTCTCTACATACTTGTGGGCCTTCTCTCATACTCCCTAGAAATGCCTGCTTGTAGATCCTGCCACCTTCTACATTATTCCTGCATCCGAGCCACCAGACACACTCCTGCTTCAGCACTGGATTCAGGCTTTACATCCTTGATAAAACCTTCTCTCACTTGCTTTTTTCTAAGCCCCACCTTCAACCCCATCCTCCCCTCTCTGCTCCAGAGTTGGTGTTCAGCCTTCTCTCGTGCACTCTGAACTTTGGTCTATGTGTCTGTCTCCTCCACTTGAGTAGAAGCTCCTTGAGGGCAGAGATGTTTTGAGGAGGGGGCCTTATTCATGTTCCCAAGCCCCCAGCAGATGCTTGACCTGTAAAGGGAGCTCACCATCTGAATGAATGAATCTTCGAGTTACCACAAATGCATTTGTCAAGATGTAAATGGCAGTTAATAAATAAATCAGCTCCACGTGAATAAAAACAGAGATCATTTTTCAAAGTCTCATTGCAAGCCTTTCAGTAGTAAATCTATTGAAGTGAGCACTCAGGTTTTAAAGGCAAGTTTTATTTGTTGAGACAACTGGAGCTTCCACGGTTCTGTGGCATTCTTTCTACCTGATCAGAATGGGCTGTGGTTTCGTGAACAAATGTCAGTGTTTGGATTTGACTGTATTCACAATAACAGGGAGTAGGTGAGAGTCATGGGAGGGACGTGTACGTGCGAAGGTGTGTGTATGAAAAACGGCTGGGTCTTTTAATGAACCACTCACTTGAAAATTGTCTTTCTGCAGGTGATGTATCACCAATCAGTATGTCTCCCATCAGTCAATCTCAGTTTATTCCACTCGGGGAAATCCTGTGCTTGGCCATCTCAGCAATGAACTCGGCACGAAAACCTGTCACCCAAGAAGCACTGATGGAGCACCTGACCACATGTTTCCCAGGTAATAGAAAGAGAATGTAGCACCTTCCCAAAGGATGGTGTGCTTAGACTGCTCCTGGGCTATAAAATATAAAAGGACAGCTCTTCTCGTGTTTAAATCTCACAGAAAAAAAATCTTTGCCAAAATTGAACGGAAACTTTTCTTAGTTCTGTAATTAAAAAATTAAGGCACCTGTGTTTCTTCAAAAATAATTTGCCTTCTTCAGCTTTAATACTTTTTTAATTGGTACCGAGAAAAAGAAATTAAATCAGAATCTACAAGGAATTCTGGTAAAACGATTTTGCCAAGATTCCATTCAACCTTTGCCACACAAACATTCTTTAAATACATAAACATCATGATTTCATAGAAGTGAGTCAGAAACAACTGAAATTTTTAGTCCTAAGGGATTAAACTACAGACAGAATAATATTAAAAATAAACATATCTTGCATGCTTATGTCATGGCCTGATGAATTTTAAGACTATCATATTTGATACATTAGTTACGATTTCATTTTAAAAGAACAAAATAAAATAAAATGTTTCACTTTCTCTTAACTGTTATAAAAAGAAGACAATAGCCCAGCTGCTTGTGTGAATGGTGTTTGATGCCTCCAGTGCTAGATGTTAGGAATGGTGATAAGCTAATGAATGCATGCCCCATCTCAAGAGAGGCAGCCCACTACTCAACTCCAGGGTAGTATTCCATTCCCCCTCCCCCCAAAATGTAGGACCCTGCCAGAGTTGCCAAATCTTCTAATCTTTTAAGGGAATCTAGAAATTCCCCTTTTTTTTTAAGGCGAGGCAACCCTTGGTTGACCTCACAGATTGCAAGGACCTTGTCGATTTACAGTCCCTTATTTATTTATTTATTTTTTATGCCTATAGAACCTGGTCTTCCTAGGTGGTCTCTCCTCCAAGTACTAACCAAGCCCGACCCTGCTTAGCTTCTGAGATCAGATGAGATCAGGCTTGTTCAGGGTAGCACGGCCATGGACTAGAAATTCACTTTTATATGAAATATCTGGATTGCCTTAGATATTGGCAATTGTGTGCATGTACATTTTAACACATGTATGCCAGTGACATGCAAGTCAAACACATTATTGAGCCACCAGTCCACCAGCTTGGTTTGGACTCAGCCTATACCTAGATTGAGATAGAGCTTATGTTAAAAACAAATGCTTCACATACTTTTCATCCAACTAAGAAGAGAGCTTAGTAAATACAAGCAATTGGCTACAAAAATGCTGGATAACAAACAATTACAGAGTATCAGTGGCATACAATAGTAAACATTTATGTAGCTCATGTGTTTGGATTCTCCAGGAGTCAGCTGATCCAGACTGGTCCTAGCCTGGTGGCTCTGCTCCACCTGTACCCCCATCCTTCTGTACCCCATCCTCTTTGTAAAAGGGAGCAAGCAGAGTCCTGTTCTGTTCATTGGGATGGCAGAGGCACAAGAGCCCTTTGGTCAGACCATACCTACTAACGTACCATTGGCCAAAGTGAACCTGGCCAAACTCAAAGTCAGGGTGTGGAGGAATGCACCCCACCCATGGGAAGAGGGCAGAAAGAATACTTCTAAACTAAATAGGAATCTCCCATATCGAGTCTTCCCACTTCTCCTTTTGCCCCAAAAGAACTTTATATTTCTCTCCCAATGAGTTTTCCTCCTCTTTCAGTTTTCTAATTAATATGTGTGAAATTATACATACTGTTTAAAAACTCTAACATGAACCCACCCTTGCTACCTATAAAATATCTTAAGTTTTGTAACATTTTATTATCTCTGATTGTTCTTGATTGTCTGATTGTTTGTCTTGTTTTGTTAACTGCCAGGCAAACCTTTTTCCTTTTAGTAGTAAGGTAAGAGAGAGGGTCAAGTTTCAAGCCCTGTTTGGATGTAAAGCTTATTTTTGTTCTTTAAGCTCTCAAAATCCAAATTCATGATAAACTTTGGGAGTAGAATCTAGAAGCGATGGAACATGTAAATGTTAAAAATATCCATCACAACCATATTTCTTTCTGGTGATCTCTACAAATTTCTAGTGAAACCCTAGATTTCATAGACAATTAAAAATGTCAGTCATTATACTAGGACTTACTAATAAAATAATAATCATCAGTATCAATGACTTTCAGTTAAAGCTTTGAAAATACATTGGTAGAAGTATGGAAAATCGATTGAACAGGGAATGTTTCTAGTTTATTTTTTCAAATTAAACATTTGATTGATATACTTGCAAATCTAAGACATCAAAATTTTAGATGTAAATTCTCTATGGAAACTTTCTCATTCCTTCATTTGGAATGGTCAGAGAGCTTAATGATTCTTATGGAATGATTACATTGTAGTCATGATTCTATATAGTTTTGAAGATCATCGCTTGGAAGGCCTACAATCAGCAAGATCTATAATATGGTTAAATTTTGGTTTTATAGTAATAGCGATTTTTATGAATTACACCTCAGTTTTCCTTTATTATAGCAGTATAGTAAACCCAATCGTGAATTTATATAAATGAGCTGTACCATTTTTTGAAAAACTGCTTTTCGTTATAACACTGATTGAAAGTATGCTGCCATGTAAGGTACACTCAATTTTAAATACGGGTTTGTAATCTAGGTTGCTGGGCTGCACATCTCCAGTGCATCATTCATGTGTGAATAGTATTTCACTTCAGGAGCTGTATTCTGTGTGAATGGTGCCTCCTGGAGGTGTTCAGCAGAAGGCCCTGGCTGTTAGTGGAGCTTAGCAGCTCTAGTAAGTTGTTTTTCTCATGTGTAAGTGACTTTAACTGAAAGTCACTGATATTTGCTTTATGATGGCTCTCAAGAATTGTATAGATATGGTTTGTGTTATATCATTAATTCAGTTGTAATTTGTATTTATTTTGTGCAAAAACTGTCATAAAATTTAAGAAAAATATTTGCTATTATCCCAGCCTTGAAATCATTTGCATAAAACTAAAATGTTTCTCAAGAGTAGAGCCTTAGACTAAAAGGAAACCATGCAGGCCAAAAATTAAATAATTACATTAAGCACTATATATTCGGAGTCAGTGTTAACTCTTCTGCTTTGGTCACTAAGGATGCCTTCTGAAGATGGTGACACAAACGGGTATGTTCGTCACATTCATGGGCTTTCTCCCCTTGAGAACTCCAGGCCATTTCTAATGCTCTCATATCTCACCTCCATAGTACTGGAAGAATGGGGGAACCTAAACTTCTCAACTTACCCAGCTGTTCTAGGTTGCAACACAATGTTCTTTGAAGGTAATCTGGGTTTCCATGAGTCCTGACCTAAAGTTGAGACTACTAGTAGCTAATATTTATTGAGTGTTTGCTACGTGTCAGGCACTGTCATACATACATTAAACTTATTTAATAACCCAACAAGGGCAGGTATTATTATGATGCACATTTTGATGATAATGAATAGAGAGTCAGAGAGGTTAAGTAAGTTGCCTAAGGTGATACCACTGTATTCATTTTCTAGAGCAGCCATAACAAAGCACAGGTGGCTTAAACAATGGAAATGTATTGTCTTACAGTCCTGGAGGCTACAAGTTCAAAATCAGTGTATCAGTAGAGTTGTTTTTTTTTTTTTTCTTCTGAAGGCTGTGAGTGACAAATCTGTTCCAGACATGTCTCTATGTCCAAATTTCCCCTTTTAAGATGGATACCAGTCATATTGGATTAGGGTCCACCTAATGATCTCATTTTAACTCGATTATCTCTATAAACACCTTATCTCCAAATAAGGTTACATTCTGCAGTACTGGGGGTTAGGACTTCAACATATTAGAATAGCAAGAGGTCCAGGGTCAGGGAGCATAATTCAACCAATAACAGCAAAAAATAGTGATGGATTTCAATCCAGCAGTCTGGCCCTGGAGCCCAAGCTTTCAGTCTCTACTGAAATTGTCATTTTTGTGGGTCAGACACGATTGGATATTGGCAGTATGATTCAACCTGACCTATTTCCAAATTAGTCATGCAGCACATATGACATTTCTGTCAACGACAGACCATATATAAGACAGTGGTTTCATAAGATTATAACGGAGCTGAATTTCCTGTAAGAAGTGGAAGGATATGTGGTTTAGGAGGAATTTTTTTTTCTCTGACAGTAGCAATATCTGTGGGGCTTGGCAATAGATTCTCCCTGTTAACACCTCAATTTTTAATGCACAGATTACATCCTAGTCAGCCACTGACCTGTTTCAGCATAGAGGGGCCTGCCCCTCCCGCACTACATATTCAGAAGGTGCCACACTCCTCCCAGATCCAGCCTGATGGTGTTCAGAGTACATTGCTGTGAATTCCTTGTTGAGCATCTCAAATCCTGCACAAGGACACAGGTCCACAGGAACTATCTTAACAAGTTTTAAGTACCACTGCTACGTTAGTAGAAGCTTTCTGTTGTGGTGTGGAGGCAGCCTGTTCCTGTACTTTGGAAGTGTTTTCAGGTTGTAATGATGTAAAGCATTGATAAGTTTTATTTCTTTCCTCATTTCAATACCAGAGAGAGTCCTTTGTGCCAGATAAGGTCAATGGAACCAAAAACAAATTTCCAAAGTCAAAATACCGAGTCCTCAGTTCCGTACCCTCTCCATGTTAAACACCCTCTTTTATTATGAATACCACAGACTTCCTTAATTTGACACTGCTCAAACCTGCAATGGCAAAAACCACATTGCCATGACAATCCCCTGTGTTCTTTTATCTCTGCATCTTGATTTCTTATTCCTACTGATCCTTAGGCCACCTTTCACACAGTCCTGACAGTCACTGATATGGTGATCTGTGTCTTACCCAGCCAGTTTCTCCTTGTTATTTCCAGTTGGTCCAGCCCACATTCCTGTTGATACAGCAGCATCGGCAACTTCGATGTCCTATTTCTGACCCTGTCAGAAGGAGGCAAGGGGAGGGCTTGTGGGACAGTGTGTAGAGAGCCTACAGCAGTGTATAGGACTGTCTTAGGCCTTCATATTCACTCACCACTCACTCACTGACTCACCCAGAGAAAGCTTGCCAGTCCTGCAAGCTTCATTCATGGTAAGTGCCCTATACAGGTATGCCATTTTTTTTTTTAATCTTTTATACTGCATTTTTACTGTATCTTTTCTATGTTTGTATGTGCTTAGATACATAATACTTACCATTGTATTACAGTTGCCTATAGTATTCAGTACAGTAACATGCTGTACAGTTTTGTAGTCTATGAGCAGTAGGCTATACCATATAGCCTAGGTGTGTAGTAGGGTATACCGCCTAGGTTTGTGTAAGTGCACTCTGTGATGTTCACATAATGATGAAATCACCTAATACTGCATTTCTTAGAATATATCCACCTAGTTAAGCGATGCATGACAGTAGATCATTCAGGTCAGTCTTATATCACCCTGAATATGCCTGGCACTGAGGAATGGAGAATACCCAAGAAGTAAAGTAAACGTGCTACAGCCTGGAGAATTTATACTCTCTTAAGTGGATATACTCCTGATTCTGTCTCTCGGGGTAGACAAGGCATAAACATGTACATAAAACCCTTTGAAAACAATATCAGTTACTCTTCAAAGGAGTATCTGTGATTTCCTTCTGGAATTTATATCCTAGCAAATATGGCAGTTTTGGACTCGGTGACCAGACAGATGTAGAGCATCTGAGCTTTCACTAGCGTATTTATTAGGGCTCTCTGGTTATAAATTAGAAAAGCCACCTCCATCCTGCCGACTTATACCAAGAAGGAGAAAGATCTAACTAAATTTCACCAGAGCTATAATCACTTTAAAAATTGAAGGTCATGATTTCAGAATTGGAAAGTACATCATAAACAGTGGTCAGGTCCACTTGCCCTTTTTTATAATTTATAAAATTAAGTTTATTAAGTAAACAATCTTAAAAAATGAGTGTATAGAGTAGTTCAAGTATATATGGTAGCCTCTATATATTTTAGATTTGTTTTTCAATACCAAGATGACTATTTCAACCCTATTCCCTAGTTGCTTTTATTGAAAAAGTCTTTTTTTTTTGTAAATCGCTGTCATGTAAAACATTTTTTATTTTCCCCCTCATTTAAAAATATTGTCTTCAATGATTCAGTTCAGTAAATGTTTGTAACAATAGTAACAACCTAACTCCATCTATCCATTTCTCTCTTCCCAGCTCTTATATATTCCCATTCTATCAATAGTAATATTCATAAGCATCATCAGAGAAAACTAGGATTCACACTAAACTTAAGGAACGCCTTCGAATCCTGTTTATCTTGCGAACGATAATATTTTGAAGCTTAATTAATAGGATTCTGTCTTAGTCAGTTTGAGCTGCTGTAAAAAAAAAAAAAAATCATAGATTGGGTGGCTTCAACAAGAGACATTTATTTCTCCCAGTTCCGGAGACTCGAAGTCCAAGATCAAGGCACCTGCAGTTTTGGTGTCTGGTGAGGAACCTCTTACTGGTTTATAGACAGATGTACCTTCACCTTGCAGAGAGAGAGGGCTCTGGTGTCTTCTTAGAATGTCTCATCTAAACTTAATCACCTCCCAAAGGCCTCAGCTCCTACTACCATCATATTGGGGATTGAGGCTTGAACATATGAATCTTGGAGGCACACAGACATTCAGTCCATAGCAGATTCTGAAAAATCAGGAATCAGCATGTTTCTTCTTCATTCTCATGATGTGTCCTCTTGGTTTTAGGTGTTCCCACTCCAAGCCAAGAAATTTTACGGCACACGCTGAACACGCTGGTACGGGAGAGGAAAATCTACCCCACTCCAGATGGCTATTTCATCGTGACCCCACAGACTTATTTCATAACTCCTTCTCTCATAAGAACTAACAGTAAATGGTACCATTTGGACGAGAGGATACCTGACAGGTCTCAGTGTACCTCTCCGCAACCCGGAACCATAACGCCCTCTGCCTCAGGCTGCGTCAGGGAAAGGACATTGCCCAGAAACCACTGCGACTCTTGCCACTGCTGCAGAGAAGACATGCACAGCATGCATGCATCAACTCTGCAGAGGAAACCTGCCAGGGACTGCAAAGACCCTTATTGCCCTCCTTCCCTCTGCCAGGTGCCACCCACTGAAAAGAGTAAAAGTACTGTAAATTTTTCTTATAAGACAGAAACTCTCTCGAAGCCTAAAGATAGTGAAAAGCAGTCTAAAAAATTTGGGCTCAAGTTATTCCGGCTAAGTTTTAAAAAAGACAAGACCAAACAGCTAGCCAATTTCTCTGCCCAGTTTCCTCCTGAAGAGTGGCCCCTGCGAGACGAGGACACGCCAACTACTATCCCTCGGGAAGTGGAAATGGAAATCATTAGGCGTATTAATCCAGACTTGACCGTGGAAAATGTCATGAGGCACACTGCACTAATGAAGAAGCTGGAAGAAGAAAAAGCACACAGGAGTAAAGCCGGGTCCTCTGCCCGTCACAGCGGAAGAAGTAAAAAGAGCAGGACTCATCGAAAGTCCCACGGGAAGTCTCGATCACACAGCAAGACACGGGTGTCAAAAGGAGACCCATCAGATGGTTCCCATCTGGATATCCTGGGTGACAGAGAGTACGACTTTTGCGACCCTCTCACCAGGGCCCCCAGGGAGGGCTGCTTCATCATTGAACACAAAGGGGAGAATTTCATCATGCATAGCAACACGAACGTGATCGAGCCTCATTTCCCTATGACGCCAGAATGGGATGTGTCGGGGGAACTGGCCAAAAGGAGAACTGAGATGCCTTTTCCCGAACCTTCCAGGGGGAGCTCCCACTCAAAAGTACACCGAAGCCACAGCCATACCCAGGACCGACGGTCCAGGAATGAGAGGTCTAACAAAGCCAAGGAGAGATCCAGGTCCATGGACAACTCCAAAGGCCCTCTGGGTGCTTCCTCTCTGGGGACGCCTGATGACCTGGCTGAAGGCTGTAGCCAGGATGACCAAACCCCCAGCCAGTCCTACATTGACGACAGTACGTTAAGGCCCACACAGACGGCCAGTCATCAAAGGGCTCACATTTTGTCCACAGGCTATAAAGAGGTGTGTATTCCAGAAATAGTCAGTGGCAGCAAGGAACCTTCCAGTGCTTGTAGCCTCTTGGAGCCAGGCAAACCCCCCGAGAGTTTGCCATCCTATGGTGAACTCAACTCTTGTCCAACAAAAACAGCTACGGATGACTATTTCCAGTGCAACACCTCCAGTGAGACGGTGCTCACAGCGCCATCCCCTCTGGGCAAGAATAAAGAGGACCATGACACTCTGACCCTGGCAGAAGGGGTGAAAAAGCTGCCTCTGTCCGATAGGCAGGCCCCGCATTCCTCTAGGGAACCCGTAGGGCACAAGGAGGAGTCACCAAAAGGGCCAGGTGGGGGCCCAGCTGCTGCGGGTGCAGCAGCTGAAGGGATTGCCAATGGACGCCTCATCCAGCACCACAGCGCCGAGCCCAGCAGCCTGGACAAGAGGAAAGAGATATTCAGCAAAGACACACTGTTCAAACCTCTTCACAGCACCTTGTCTGTAAACAGCTATCATAAATCCAGCCTGTCCCTCCTCAAATCTCACCCGAAGACACCTGCCGACACACTGCCAGGCCGATGCGAGAAACTGGAGCCGTCCCTGGGGACGTCAGCGGCACAAGCCATGCCAGCTCTCCAGCGTCAGCAGGAGTCAGGGGGAAACCAAGAAGCCTCTTTTGACTATTACAATGTCTCTGATGACGATGACTCTGAGGAAGGGGCAAACAAAAACGCCGAGGAGGAGAAAAACAGAGATGACGTAGGCACCATGCAGTGGCTCCTCGAGAGGGAGAAGGAAAGAGACTTGCAGAGGAAATTTGAGAAGAACCTCACCCTCCTTGCCCCAAAAGAAACTGACAGCAGCAGCCACCCGAGAACCACCCATTCGGCACGCCTCGACAGTATGGACAGCAGCAGCATCACTGTGGACAGTGGATTCAACTCCCCACGGTAGGGAGAGGCGTCTCTGCACACACATACACCTACCGGGGTCTGGGGCTTTATGCAGATAACTGAAAAGCTTCTGACTTCACAGTCTCAGTTCTGTGAATGAGGGTTAAGAGTTGCGTGAGTTGTATTTTTAACAACCTGTTTCTGACTTCTTTTTCAGGAATTGAAACAAAAGTTTCTGCAGCTGTAGAGATCACCAATCTGGACTGGTGGGTTGGCTCCTTCCCTCTAACTCGCATCAGTCCAGTCTAAGACCAGCATTTCCCAGTATTTTTTCTTCTGTGTTTATATTGCCACCGTACTGATATAGGAAGGGTTTTTTATTAAGTCATGCAAAAATAGTAACTTTTCGAGTAGACCAAATAGCCAGTGGGAGGTAGGGTAGGGCTGGGAATAAATTGATTGACTCGAGGACAGGGATCCCACTAGTGAGAATATACAGTTGACTCTTGAACAACTCAGGTTGGAACTGTTCAGGTCCAATTATATGCAGATTTTTTTTTTCATAAATACTGTAAATATATTTTCTTTTCCTTACGATTTTCTTAATGACATTTTCTTTTCTCTACCTGACGTTATTTTAAGTATACAGTATGTAATACATAGAACATACACAATGTGTTAATCGAATGTTTATGTTATCGAGTAAGGCTTTGGTCAACGGCGGGCTCTTAGTAGTAAAGTTTTGGGAGAGTCAAAAGTTACGCAGGTTTTCAGCTGCATGTGGGGTCAGTGCACCTAACCCCTGTGTTGTTGAAGGGTCAACTGTAAAAGCAGACCTCGAATCCTCTGCGGTGGATCTAGAAGCTTGTCACCATTTTAGTCCCGGCTTTCTGTGTGGCCCGACCCCCTTGCTCTTACACCTTCTTCTCACCACTCACCTGTCTACAGAGAAGTGGACCTTGTTCCTCTCACAGAAAGACTGGGGCCCTGTGCTCTGTTAGCGCGAAGCATGTGCCAGCACTGTTCTTTCTCTCCTGCAGCACTGATACAGCCTAATCATAGTCCCTTCTTTTTAGTAGGTGCTGGTAATTCGGCAAAGGGTTGACAGCTGAGAGTATGTAATGCCCGATGGTCATGCCCAACACACTGAAGTGGTTCAGGGCTTAAGAAAGCAAAAGAGAGTCTATGCGACTTGCTGTTTTTCTCCTTAACTCTTCCTTCTCCTCAAAGAGCAACTCGGGACCTAATTATCCTTTGAAGTTCTACTCCAGATTGGTGACTCTGAGATGCAGAAATACTATTGAGAGATTGACATTTCTCATTAGCTGTGATTCCCCAGATTTTACAATATTTATAATTTTAACAAGTATGCAGATATGATTATGTACTTCATATATTTATTTTTATTATTAAGAATTAAAATTAGTTCTATTGTGATCATTTCACTCTATCTCTGCATAATTTTGGGACAGAGCATCCCAAAATTAGAATTGGGAGTCATTAATCTGTTTGTCCCATATTAGGTCTTTATTATTTCTTAAAGGGCGAGTTTATTATTATTAATTATTATTACTATCATTATTATTATTATTGTCACGTAACCTTTTTCCAGGTTAACACCTGTGGAAGTCCAGTGTCTAAACAGACAGCAGAGCTGGTACCCTGCTTAAAGTCGATGAGAGACCAGGGTCCCAGATCTCCTCTGCCTGTCCCTGGAGGAGTTCTACAAGACCTCAGGGAACATAGCACTTGGTCTGAAAACTACTGGCCTATTAAGTGACTTTTCTAAGAAATAATTTTTGCTAAATATTTTTCTATTCCAAATCAAATCTAAACTTATTTACCTGTTATTTTTATATATCTTTTTCTGTCTATTTTTTCTTCTACTCTCTTTTCTCCTCTTGAATTCCTAACAGTGGATACTATGTAAGCATAACTGAAGGTCTATAATCGATGGTAGAAGTTCAAAACCATCGCTTTATAGAAGGTGTGGTTTATTTGCCTGTACCTATTGTTCTACTATTTCTTATTATATAGTCTCTACCCATCTAATGTTTTTCACACAACAGTTTCCAACCTGTCACATTGCCTCTTGGCCCCTGGACCTCCACAGAGGGAAAGCTGTAGTACTCCAGAGATAGTCGCTAAGGAGATGCTGAGAGTAGCTTAATGATCTCTCACTCAAAAACCTACCGCCACATAATACGAAAGTTTTTTGTCTGTTAGGGGGCAAAGAAACAGAGATATTCATGAAATAGTTGAACCAGTCTCTCCACAGAATGTATTTTCTCTCTAAATTTAGAGTACAGAATATAGAATTTATGAATGGGGTTCTTTCTTGAAATAAGTTTTTTCGTATATCTATAGTAATACACTTAAGGTTAAATGCTTTGTCATGGTAGAAGGTGAAAGGTCGTTCTGAGGAGACAACCTTCACAGATTAGCTATGTGTCTGTCCAGTTACTGGGTAGAATTTTCTCTGTAGGAATACATAGATCACCCATAAATTTCATCCAGTTATACATAACAATTCTGTATTGTACGCCTTTCATATTTAATTTCCATTGGTTAGAAGCTAGATGACAAACTTATTTTCTATACCTATTTTTAAACTGTAATTTCTGTACACCTCAATAAATTCACTAAGTTGCCTTTCTAATGCATGAGGATGGTCTACACAGGAGAATATTTGAGTTATAGGGAGTTTTACTCTTCAGCATGAGGAGTATTTTAGCCAAATAGCATTATCATGTTGACACCTCCACACTGTTGGTGAGGCACAGGAATCTTAAGTGGGCCATTTATTTGTGCTTTTCAGTAACTAATTCACTGAACAACTAAGACCCCACCGGGAAAAAAAAAAAAGAGAGAGAGGGAGACCAAAAAAGGTGATCATCACACTCCAGCTTTTAGTGCTGACTCAGAAGTCATGTTTAACCACATTTCCTAAATTCTTCAGTCCCTTGTGCTGAGAACTAAAGGGTATTGAGAAGGAAAAAAGGTGGAAAGTTAAGCTGTGCCCTAGACATGAAAAGCCTGCTATTCCAAATGTGAGGCCCCAAACTGGTTGATAAACATAATATGAAAATCTGAGGGACCAGAGGCAGCCAGGAGAGTGTGTGCCTAATATACTGCGTGACATGTGCTGCTGAAGGCGTGGGGCCTCAGGAAACATGTGCACCAGGAGGATGAGCAGCAGAGCTTCTAAGTTCATTTCTTTTGCCTATAAATCCTGAAATCTTAATTTTAAGGTTGCACTCCCTTAGCACTCTTATTTAAAAAATAAGAACTTTTAAATTTGAGGAATATTTTTACTGCTAACACTCCATCTCCACTAGCTTTTTCATCACATGCGAAGCTTTTCATATGAATGTCACATGCTATACTCATTGTTAGAGCAATAATGAAATATATCCTTCCGAGAAACTGGAGTACTGTATGTATTTATCACTATTAACATGTTGGCTGTGGTCAAAAGAGGCATCTTAGATGATCTATTGCAATGATATGTGTTTACAGCCTGGCACAGTGTCTGGCACACAGCAGGTACTTGATAAATGTTAATTTAAGCCCATGTCTTAAAAGCTGATTTAAAAATGGGTCCTCTAGACCTTCAGATGCATTTTCCCTTGGAAAAGATGTCATCAGCAATGTATAGATACCCAAACCAACCCAGAGTAGCTGCCTCATTCATTACATGCCGGATGTATAACAAATAATTTATATTTGTCTAGCTTTTTAGTGTACAAATTCTTCATCGACACATATTTATTCTTCACAGTCACTCTGTGAATAGGTAAATCACATAACTCTCCCGGTTTTAGCGATGAGGAGGTCAAATACCATAAAAAGGTACTATCATGACTAAGAATGAAACTGAAAGAATGTGTCATGAAATCTCCGGAGTTCTACATGTTGATTGCCTTTCTTCCGTCCCCCGCCTGACCCTGTGCCTCAGGGGTAGTGCTGGCAAGCCACTGATGAGTTTTCTTAGGGAAGGTGTGAGGCAGGTAAGTAGGTTTAGCACTTTCCATCCTTTTAGTGATGACATGTTGAGTATTCTTTGGGTATGCCCAAATTTACCATAGGCGTAATAGAAGAAATTGACTTCTTTCTGAATGTATTAACCTACTGGAGGTACCCTCTACCATCAAGAAAGGTCCAGTTGTCTTTTTGGTAGTCATTGAGCAAATTTTCTATTGAACAGTTCATTCTTGGCTCCTTGGTGAAAAGCAGACTCCATGCCACAAGGCGAGTAGGATGAAATAATCTGTTATTAAGGGCTGCCAAGGTCTAGGGTTCAGATAAAATAGCCATCAGTTTAGGATGGTAATAAGAGGCAGCGAGGATGTCCATTATAGTACTTTGACCTGTTGACCAGCTTCAGCAGGCTTAAATCAGTTACGGGGACCAGCTATCATCAAATAATGTATAAACCTTGAATCTATCCAATAGAGTGGAGGTTTTGAGCATCATTATGGTTTCTTCAGTCTTTTTTAACCTAGTAAGTTTCTTATTACCATTTTGAGGACCTTGAACATGAAACCTCTTCAGTTCCCATGAGTCAGGCCAAGTAATCTTATTTCTGCTATTGCCCTACACATTTGAAATGTTGAATGTTCTAAATCCCTTGGACCAATAAAGCAGATTCCAGTATTTCTAACTAAGAAAAATTAAGAGAAATCAAAATACTGAAGTCTTTAAGTCACCTCTATCCTATAAGAATTCTTTAAAATATAAAATATTCCTACCAAAGTGGGTGGAAGGGTATGGATAAATGTAAACTTCACAAACGAATGGGAGCATGTAAGATTCCTTATCTGAAAATACAATGTTTTTAAACTAAAGTGTTAAAATTTGAAACACAGGTATGAAGGTGTTTAAAAAGAATTTCGTTCCCACCAGTGTGGCAGATTAGCCAGTGGCATGCTTGAAGAACACCAGAGTCAAAATCTGCTAATCAAAGATGAAAACAGAATCATTACGGTACAGTTATTGCATTTATTAAGAAGCAATATATCAGTGAATTTCCAAAGAGAAATGAAATCATTACATAAGTATATTTATGAGTATTCTTTTTTAAAACTAATGCGACAGGTATCCATCACATCAAATTTTGAAGTAGTTTCCTTGAATGTGAAAGGAGGGGAAAGATATTTAAAGTGCACTTAGCTGTATAAAAGCCTTTATACAATATGCTGCTAATTATTCATGTCTGTGAAAACTTCTGGAGCCATGTTTGAGGAACATATGTGAATAATCAGTACGGGATGGTATGTATATGACATTATGAACCAACAGAGGAAATCCATTAACTACATCATTTGCTCTTCCTCTGAAACTCACTATATAATTATTTATGTTCGAAACAAAACAAAACAAAACCTTTTTACTCTTTTAGCACTCGGGAGAGCCTGGCTTCCAACACGTCAAGCATCGTTGAAAGTAACCGCCGTCAGAACCCTACCTTGAGCCCGGCCCATGGTGGAGCTGGCCCGGCCTTCAACTTCCGAGCAAGTACGGACCCCCCAACAAACGAAGCTGAGAAATTACAGAAACCTTCCAACTGCTTGCAAGCTTCTGTTACTAGTGTGTGATAGTCGTTCTGCCTCAGATCTCCTGTCTCATTCGATACAGCCAAGTTTACGACACTGGGACTGATGTTTACATCTTTGGAAAGACAAGCATCTCAACCACAGTTTTTGTGTTTACTTAAACTGTGCTGCTAAGTAGGCTAGAGCAAAACACAAAAATCTTTCTTTCAGAGTATTGCTTTTCACATTTATGGCTCTGTAGCAACAGAATAGCAGTAGGGGTGATATGTGCACTTTTGCTTCACTAATCGTAACTGAGCACACACAGGGAAGTCTACACACTGTAAGTGTAATACGCATTTTCAATGTCATGCAGTTGCCAGTTCCAGTTTTAAATGCCACAGATGCGTGTTGCTCCCAGTCTGTGGGCAGATGGTGCCACAGAACTGATCCTTGACACTTCCAAAAAATAAAAAATAAATAAAAAAATAAGCCACCACAAAATGTCAAGTGCAAGGGCCCACCTTGAGGGAAATTAATGCCAAACTGACGAGAAGGGACCCCAGCCTTTTGTGTGTGAATTGTTTATGCACCCGTCATTTTTCACTGTGAGTTTTCGTGATGCAGCTTTGCAGGAGCCCATGGAAGTGTGTCAGAAGGGGTCATGATTGAAATACTGGGAGTGTTTCTTTTCAGGATTTTGTTTTTAGGTGTAACAGATGCTTGTCTGATTTTTAACCTTCCATAATCACAAACAGGAATATAGGCCTTTGAATCTGGAGTGGAAATAAAAGGAAGGGGGTCCCCAGCCTGGCTGGGGCACAGCACTGAGTGATGGGAGGTAATGTGGACTTTTAAAAGGTGTTAAGTCAGATATGTAAGGAAGATCATTTCCTCTTTGGGATACTTATGGCGATCCTATCTTAATATAATAGATATGATAATTAGTTTGTTTAAAAGCAAAATGTTCTTTGTGATACAAATGAAGAGTATGGCCTGAGGATGTTATTCTTTCTAATGGAAGGACATAAATCTATTTTATGTAGTTTTAAATAGAATGCCTAAATTAGGCTGTGGGAGATAATTTTTAGTGGTTATAAGAAAGAGCAAATTTAGGGAGAGTTGAACTTCAGGCCTTTTATTCCTGGGAAGATATCTATAGAAAAAAACTTCAAAATAACTTTTGATCGGAAATAGACATGTACCCATGTAATTAACAACAGAATGTGCTCATTCTGCAAGTGTGGTATAATTCCAACTTGTACTCCCCTAAAATTTACCAGAATAACAATTATGCATTCATGAACTATGCCAGAGTAATGTTTACAGATACTTTGTAACCAATTTCAGGAGGCATTTTAAGGTGGATGTATGGTTATTAGCCCAACTTATTTCAAAATGGTTTAACATTTGGCTTTGGTTTACAATGACTTGTTGAATACAAAGAAGCCGGTCAGCAGCAAAGGAATTACATAATCAAGCTTCAACTTCTAGGAAAGAGACTTTTCAAAGTTCCCATGTTTTATTTTATGAGAACAATGGAATAAATCTGTAGATAATGGAAAATTATTTGCAAAAGGGTCGCATATGACACAGGTACATGGTCTAACAAAAAGTTCTATTTAGTTTAGTGGCATGTGATGTTTGGAGCCATAAACCATAAATATATATATATATATATCCAAAAATAAATCTAAAATATTTTCTCAGATTTAAATCAGTGACATAAAATTTGTCAAACACTTCTGCTTCAGTATTAAGTTTGATCACTAGCAGTCTGTTTAAAGAATGCAGTCATATATGTGGCTGGACCGATTCTTGAAACTTTTGGGTGCTTCCTTATGCTTTTTCAGATATTTGGAAGTTGCATTGGGAACTGAACTCTTCAAGTTTAGTATAGATTCCTTTTTTGTGCTTAGAGTGAAACATAAGCACCTTTCTTGGTAAACTCCCACACCACTAAAATGCTTAAGTCAATTGGCTTTCAGTGTCATGCCTTATTTCCTCTAAGGCATGCCTTGATTGCTCAGAAATGCACTATTTGTCTCATTGCTTAAAAATACGTCCAGAAGGAATGGTAATGTGTCTAATAGACTAATACGGAGTCTGTTTCCTTGGGGAGTTGTATACCATACGGTCACTAAATTCTTATATCTAAATTCATTTTTTTTTCCAAAAACCTCTCAGACGTTTATCATACTATCAATTCATAAATAATATAACCATTGAAACAATACATCAGCCTCTAGTTGATCCTCTGAAAGTAGCCATTATAATAATCAAGTGCTGTGTGACCAGGAAAGGAAAGCATTACCGTTAGCAGCTTTAAAATATGAATTTATCGATATTTCACAAGAACTAGGTTTACAGAAGACATTTAAATAAAATGTGTACACTATTTGCCTGATGCTGTGGGGTACATGATCTAAAAAAAGAACTCCCTTAGACCAGCAGCCATTAGCGTAGAAATGATGGACTTTAAAGACGATACAACTTAAGCAGACGTTCCCTGTAGAAATATCCCCGTATGAATCCATTCGGGATTCCTGAATGGGGGAGGAATGGTGGCAGGAAGCACATTACTGACATGACCTAAGATGGCCTACGGTGAGGTTCTCAGTGACCAAACTCTCAGGCTGCTCCAAGCTTTGCCAACATTCTTTTCCTCCAATGAAATGATAGCTTTGTGTTACACGGCTGCTTATCTAGTCTTCACTTAGTTTATCAACTGAAAGGTTTACAAATCTGAAATCTGGTTGAATCTCTGTGTAGCATTCAACTTTAAAGGGTCAACCCATCTGTCGGCATTTTGCACACTTATGTATTATTATGATACAGCATATTACTTTATGGTAATTTTTATTTTTACATATAACTACCTCCATAAATTTGATGAAGCGGCAGCAGTGCGTCCAAGTGTATTGTTCAGAAAAGCAGAGTTTAAAACTTATCATTGGGCCATGGCGTTGTGTATGTGTGTCAGTGATTGCCTATGTGGACTCATGACTTTTTCATTGCCATGGTTTTCTTTTACGGCATCATTTCACTTTCAGATGTAAACCTGTCTCTCCTTTCTTCCCCACAGAAGCGCACTTGATTTTGTTATGAATGATAGGAAGTTTAAATTTCTTGTCTCCCCAGCCCCCAATTCCTGCTAGAAATTGCCCCCTGGTGAAGAGCCAGTTGGTAAACATAATTTAGCAAGCTATTTACTTCTGTAAAAATCTGATTTAAATTCTAGGTTTTCAGTTACAGAAGACACAAGAAATTTGGACTGCCAACTTGAAGCACTCTGGTCCTCTGCCTTCACTCGCATATGCTACCATATCCAGCCCAAACTTCATTTGAATGAAAAGAGCTGTGCTGTGTATTCATGACTTCTGTTAAATAGTTCATATTCCATTTTTATATATTTTGCACATCTCAGGGGACCTTAATGAGCATACGAAAAGGGGAGGGGGTGCCATCAAATAGGGAAAACAAATAGAAGAACTGAAAGGGGATGAACTGGATAAAAATAACAAATGACTGCTTCTCTGATGTCGTGAAGCTCAAGTTCAGGAAGCATAAATTGAAAGTTAATCTGGAGTAACGATGATCTAAACACCAGCTGTTCCCAAATCTCCCTTTTTCATAACCCAACCAGCATTTATAAAATGTAAATTTAAATTATATTGCAGTCACCTTGGGGAGGAAAAAAAAACCTCTCCAATAAAATGAAAGTGTTGTTCCTTTTTTAGGTTAGCACAGCTTTGTAAAATTCTACCGAGGATAAACCACTTATCACCACAAAGTGTACTTGAAAATAAAGTTTTTAACAAATTATAGGCATATTGCTCACAATACAGTAGTGATCATATTTTGAAAAGTCTCATCATTTATAACCTGGGCAGTATTTGGAGCTTGATTAAAAATCAACAACAACCTATAATGACTTTGCAAATTCATTTTGGGATCTCAAAGTGCTTCCAAAGCATTCAGATTCACAAGTAATTAACCAAGCAGGTCATATTTGTAATACCCATACTTGAAACGAATAAACAGAAGGAGTGACTTAAGATTACCGAGAAACACAGTGGCAGCTATCAATGATCTGTTTTCTATCTGTTTGATAGACCATCATGAGAAATCACTCAATACAATGCTATTTTTCTGATGTGTGCTAATAAAGTCAAAGAAAACAAATACGACTTTACACCTTTGTCCATTTTCATTCAAAAAATTCAGGGTGTTTGGAATTTACACCTCAGTATGCCTCACTGGTACCGATTTGTGAAGTGGGGAATTAACAGATCCACTCAAATGCCCTTGTGGTCAGAAGCAGATACAGACATACACCCCTGTTTACAATGTCATATTGGGCTTCTCTAATTCCTGTGCTAAAATACCATCTTTCAGGAACATGACTGCTCCTGGTAGCGGAAGGTGCTGAAACAAATTTTAATTAAAAACTTTATCAAGTACTCTTCACAGTGCTGTTTAGCACAACAGAAATTCAGTACAACATGTCAAGCCCTACTTTGAAGAATCGATTTCGGAGGTTGCTGATCTAGTTCTAAGTCTTTTCTCAAATTTGGAGATACAAGATCCTGGATGGGGAACTTCTTCATTGCCACAGGCCAGTCACAGAA